AATGGGGTCAGCATCACAGAAGCATAGCGCCTCTCCCCCCCCCCTTTTCTCTCTGCCTCTTTTTCTGTTCAGGGACCCCAAGGGGGGGGGGGCACCTTCGTGCTGTCTTGGCTACAGACTCATTCAGCTCCCTTCCCTTTTCTGTCTGCCCTCAGCCTGGAGCCCCCTAAATCTGCCTTGGTGGTTGTGCAAGGAAGCTCAGGATTCTTTGCCTGGAGGAGGCTGTGACTTTGCCCTGCCAGGGTTCCCAAAGTTGAAGATCACAGGACACTGAAATTGGGGTTCGGAGATTTTGCACCCCAAACTGCCAATAGCTCTGAACTGTAGAAGTGATCCTGGTGGATCAGGAGGAGGTGGGGGGAGGACTTGGCAGCCCCGCCCTTTCTGGAAGTCTGGAGTCCTCGGTTCTCTCTGAGCTCGGTTGTTTTCTTGCAAGGTTCCTTCCTGGAATTCTTGCTCGTTCCTAGGACATGACTGGCAGCAACCGTGTTGCTCCAGAAAGTGCTCTCAACTGTCAGATGTGTTTGTGGCTCTGCAAAGCACATGGTGACCGTCTGAGCCGGCAGAACCGGCTTTTCTGCCTCCCGGGATGTCAACAAGCCTTGAGAGGCTGGGAGGAGCTGCTGGGAAGCTTTTGGAAGGCCGAGACCCCGGCCCTGGGTGAAGCCTGCTTGGGTGGCGGCTCAGGCTCTTCCCCCTGGCCTTGGCTCCCAGCAGGTTGGACTGCTATGGAATATGATGAGAAGCTGGCCCGTTTCCGGCAGGGCCACCTCAACCCATTCGACAAGGCCCCGCTGCAGAATCAGCAGGAGCAGAAGAGAGCCGGAGAGGATTTTCCCCAGAAAGGTCAGCTGCCCCCTGGCACGTTTTCTCCCTGGGAAGGACTTGGCACCACTGGATCTAGACTGGATCCAAGAGTATTTTACATCCCTTCCCCTAAAGACTGGATCCATACCCTTTGGAAATGTGAGGGCAGGGTCTCTCTGGCCAAGGGCTCCCCATCAGTGTCAGCCGGTATCCAGCTGCTGGGACAGGAGATGGGCTCTGCCTGAAAATCCCAAAGCTGCCGTGGCAGCCTTAATTTCTGAAGCGGAGCCCCAGATGGCTGCTGTCCCATTTTGCCACGGGCTGAGTAGAGAGATGGGCCCGCCCGTTTTCCAACGTGACATCTGTGGCCATTTCCTGCCCTTGAATTGGATCTGTCCACTGGGACTGGCCTTGGGGTGGGGGGTTCTGGTCAGAGGTGGATGTAGCTGACCAGCTGCTAGTTTTGCCAAGACCGAGGGGTTCCAGACTTCCGAAAGAAGGAAGCGGTGACCTTTGGCTCTAGCAGGCCAGGCCCAGGAAACCCAGGTGGACAAAGATTGCGGGATGCTCCAAGGCCGAGCTCTCCTGGCAAGGCTCTGCGTGCTGAGCAGGCTTGTCTGAAGGCTGCTTTTCTCCCCCCCTCCCTCCATGTAGATGTGAATCTGGGGTTGTCTCTGGAGGATCCAGTGTTCCCTTGCTCAGAGCGCACCATGGATCTGGGCTTGGCCGAGGACCATTTCTCGCGGCCAGTGGTGAGAAGGCCGCCTTTTGGGGTGGGTGGGAGAGGAGATGATGGGAAACATCTGCAGGCCAGGAGCTTTTGGCACCGGCTGGACGCCCCTCTGCTCTTCTCCTGCAGGGCCTCTTCCTGGCCTCGGACGTGGAGCAGCTGCGGGTGGCCATCGAAGAGTGGAAGCAGCGGATCCTGGAGCTGCCCGATAACTCCGAGAAGCAGAAGGATGCCGTGGTGCGGCTCATCCACCTGCGGCTGCGGCTCCAGGAGCTGAAGGTGCGGAACGGGCCGGGGAGGGGGTCCTCAGCTGCGGGCCGAGGATGGGTGGTGGGCTGCACTTGCTCCATCAGAGGTTCCCAAACATCTGGATCCCTGGGAGGCCTTGCAGCACTCCAAGGAGAGGGCAGGGCTTCCCCTCCCTCCAGCCGAATGGCCCCAGGGGGCTTTTGGCTCAAAGGACCCCCCCCTCCTGCTTCCCCCTCCCCTCCAGGACCCCAGTGAGGATGAGCCCAACATCCGGGTGATCCTGGAGCACCGCTTCTACAAGGAGAAGAGCAAGGGGGTGAAGCAGACCTGTGACAAGTGCAGCACCGTCATCTGGGGGCTGCTCCAGACCTGGTACACCTGCACGGGTGAGCATTCCCCCTGCCCTGCCTTGCTACGGAGCCTGGTTCTGGCCAGGACGAGCACCGGCCTTCCCGCCCACAAGCTCTGGGTTCAGGTCAGGCTGCGCTTCCTTCTCCCTCCTTCCAGGCTGCTCCTATCGCTGCCACAGCAAGTGCCTGGACCTCATCACCAAGCCGTGTGTGCGCTCCAAGGTCAGCCACCAGGCCGAGTATGAGCTGAGCATCTGCCCGGAGACGGGCCTGGACAGCCAGGACTACCGCTGTGCCGAATGCCGGGCACCCATCTCTCTGCGTAAGCAAGGAGCAGGGGGACTGAACCGGAAGCCGCCCCGGGTGGAGCTCCTGCTTCGCTTGCCAGGAGGCCTTGCTCAGGAAGGGCCAATTCCAGCCATTTGGGCCTGGCCAGCAGATGTGACTTTCGGGCTCCCCTCTCTCACTCCAGCTGTCTTGGAGGGGAGGGGAAGACCCCACCATAAGGTGGCTCTTTGTTGTCCCAGCGGCTGGGACCCACCTAGCTTCACAAGGACTCCCTGCTCACCTGGCTTCCTCTCTTCCTGCCACAGGTGGGATCCCAGGGGAGGCTCGTCAGTGTGACTACACAGGCCTCTATTACTGCAGCAGCTGCCACTGGAATGACCAAGCTGTCATCCCCGCCAGGGTCATCCACAACTGGGACTTTGAGCCCCGCAAGGTAAGGAGACGCTTTAGGAAGGATCAAAGTTGAGGAGCCCTCCCACACGCAGCCGGCTGTTGGGGACGGAACGTGCCCGTGTCACGGCTGTGGGCCAGAAGAAGAGCCAGTCTGAAGGACAAGCTGGTGTCCTTCAGTTGTGTTGAGCCACAATTCCCACCATCCCTTGACAGGAGAGCCAGCTGAGGTCATGCGTCCAGACCAAACTGGTGGGAGAAAACGAGCTGCCTGGACTGTGGGCAGAGCAGGAGGGATGGGATGAGAGAGGCTTTGCAGAGCAGGGGACAAACCAAGCAGGGCCCCCCCTTCCTGGGGGAGAGCCTGGGCCTTGCACTTGGGTGAAATGCAAATGGATCTTGCCAGGCATCCGTGGGCTGGGGGCTTACCGTCCGCCTCCCTAGGTGAGTGAGGACACTTTCTATGGGGCCCCATTATCCAGGGGAGGCAGAGAGGAAGCGCCCTGCCCAGATCCCATCCCACACAGAGCTCTCCGTTTATCCGGGAGTGGAGCAGGCCGGACCTCCTCTGATGCCCTACTTCAGTGGTTCCCAAACTTGGCAACTTTAAGACTTGTGGACTTCAACTCCCAGAATTCTCCAGCCAGCAGAGCCGGCTGGAGAATTCTGGGAGTTGAAGTCCACAAGTCTTAAATTTGCCAAGTTTGGGAACCACTGCCCTACTTAGTCGCAGACCTTCCCTGCAGTGCGGGGCTACTGTCTGCTTCAGGAGGCCAATGCGATTTTCAGGTCTCTCGCTGTAGCATGCGCTACTTGGTGCTAATGGTGTCCCGGCCGGTCCTCAAATTGCGAGAGACCAACCCTCTTCTCTTCAATTACGTCGAGGAGCTGGTGGAGATCCGGGTGAGTATTTGGAGGGCTGGAAGTGGGGCTAGGAGGCCTCCGTGGATTCTAAAGCATCGTCGTCTCCTGAGCTGGTCTTCTCACCTGGAACCAGAGTGTGGGTTGAGCAACCGCTTCTCGATCGGGTCTCCCCCTTCAGAAACTGCGTCAGGACATCCTGCTGATGAAGCCCTACTTCATCACCTGCAAGGAGGCCATGGAAGCTCGGCTGCTGCTCCAGGTCAGAGGAAGCAGCTGTCCAAGAGGGGCCCATGGGCCTCTTCAAAGCATGGGGCCGGTGGGCGGTTGGATTGGGGTTTGGATTGGGGTTTTTGCTTTCCTAGGTGGGAAAGGGCGTGAAAAGACCATCTGGCTAAGGCCGTTTGCTCCCTTCCCATTCTCAGCCTTCGCTCTCCTCCCCACCTCTTCGCTTGCCCCCCCCCCCACCTAAAGTCTTGTGCCTCCCTCCAGCTGCAGGACCGGCAGCATTTTGTGGAGAATGACGAGATGTACTCCCTGCAAGACCTGATGGATATCAACGCTGGGCGGCTCAGCTGCTCCCTGACGGAGATCCACACACTCTTTGCCAAGCACATCAAACTGGACTGTGAGGTAAGGCTGGCTGGGTGGGAAACAGCCGCCCAAGAGAGGCTTTGGCAGAGAGGTGCCAGGAGGCCCTTAGAGGCCGTGCCCTCACTGCCAGTTGCTGCAGGAGTATTTTACTTATTTACTTATTTACTCCAAATGAAATGAAAATAAATGAAATAAATAAACATACTTATTTTAGAGTAAAAATAAAAATAAGCCGGTGAAGGAAGAAAGGAAGATGAACTTGGTGGAAACATGCAGGAGCTGTTGCCTAACAAACGGCTCCAAAATATGTTTTTAAGTCCAGAACTATAAGGTAAAGCCAAGAAGAGGTTCAGGTGGAGTCTCCCAGATTCATCGGCGCATAAGAAGAGGAGGTGCATCACAATCACACTTGCACACTTCAAGAAACCCTCTAAAAATATCTCTGTCATGCTGAGCTTTACTTTTCTCTAGAATATTTTGTATTGGAACATCCCCCCCCCCTTCTACGTCTGCCTATATGAGGGTTGCAGGTATTTGGCAGCACAGGGCTGGTAGTTGTGTGAAGGGCACGTCCATGGAGGGGCTTGCATTGGCACCGTGGCTCACCAGCTTCCCTTTTTCCTTCTCACAGCGGTGCCAAGCAAAAGGCTTTGTGTGTGAGCTCTGCAAGGAGGGAGATGTGCTCTTCCCCTTTGACAGCCACACTTCAATGTGCACAGACTGTTCGGCCGTCTTCCACAGGTGAGTGCGGGCATTTGGGACTACCTGCCGCCTGCCGCCTCTAGTGCTGAACGAGAGAAGGCTGGTGGCCCCTCCAGAAGGAGGAAGCTAACGGGCCCTTTGTCTTTCCTCTCCCAGGGACTGCTTCTACGACAACTCCACGACATGCCCCAAATGCGCTCGGCTCACTCTCAGGAAAGAGTCGTTGCTCAATAGGGAGCTGCAAGCCTAAGTGTGACTTCTCTGAAATGGAGGGGATGACAGCAAAACCACGGAGTCCCCAGCTTGCCTGTGACTTACCTGTCCTTCTTGAAGGGAAGAAGCTCAGACTGGAGAGGAAAGAAGCCTGCCAGAGGAGGGCGAGATGGGGATGCCACGCCCAAGCTGGAGAAGGATGCTGCCTCTCCACCTCTGGACAGATGTCAGGATTCTCCTTGAGTTTCCAAGTCTGAGGGAGTTTAGTCTTGGCTGCAACTGGCAAAGGTGGAGCAGTGGCTGCCAGATGAGCTTATGGAAAATGGTCGCCACCTCCCCTCAGTAACTGGGCAATCTCATCCCTGCTTGGCTGGCACGGAGTCCAGCTGTCCTGGCTTCCTTGCAGACCATGATAGTTCAGCAAAGGCAATGGCTGTAGAAATGGTGGCATTTGGAAAGTTGTTCCTTTGACCTGGAGAGGCTTGGTTTTCCTTTCCCATCCGCCCAGCCCAAGATGGCGGCAATTGCCAAGACTGGATATACTGCAGAATAGTCTCTGCAGCCATGAAGAGAGACTATGGGACTCTTCATACCACAGTAATTTATCACAAGCACTAAAATCACTTTAAATAAAGCTAAGCGTAAATATTAAAGTCTGATGTGGTTGAAGGCTGCTTTCGATGTTGTTTCTCTCCTCTCCAAAAAGATTTTTATATTTCATTCTCTAAAAGTGGTTAACTGGAAAAAAAATCCAGTTTTAGGTACAGTTCCAACTCTTCTTGTGTCTTCTGACAGCCAGCAGGGAGGCTGTGGGGGCAGCAGCATCTTCCATGCAAGCCTCGGGGCCTAAACGTAGCCTTGGTTGTGAGTCTTCTCTCTGCTGCGTCATCTACTCTTTCAACAAAGCCACGGGCGGCGGCCATCATGACCTGTGGCATCTCTTCCCTTGCATATATTTGGGTCATTTGGGGTTCTGACGTTGGCATATTATAGGGAGGCGAGAACATCCTGATTGAGGCCTGCATTTAGCCCACCAGGCTTTCAAGACATTCCTGGAGATACTTTGGGAGGTTATGCATCCTAGTTCAGAAGAGGAAATTTGTAGACATTTGGTCCATGATGTCTCCTGGGGGGGAAAAGGGGTTCTTGGAGACTAATTTATATTCCACTAAAAAGAAGGATGAGGGCCGAGGAGCAAGTTTGTCTTGATTTTGACCCCCGCCTCCAATAAACCAGCCCCCAGAAAAGAATGAAGCCTATGATCCTCTCTTGTCCTCCCAGCAGCTTGGAGAATCCAGGGAAAGGGGAGCAAAGTTTGGTGGAGGGCAATTGCCCCCCGAACGGATGGCTCCAAACTCCCGTTAGCGGCCGGCTATCCAGTTAAAAGCTAACGCTCCCGAAGGGCGCCAGGTTGGAGCGCCTCTAGTGAGGGGGACGGGGGGAGGGATGTAGAGGCGGAACCGAAGGTCTCGTGCTGGGATGCCCGCCGGTCTGCTTTTCCAGTGACACGGAGGCCCCCGCCGCCTTCTGGGAAGGGCTGCTCCCACGCCTGCGCAGTTGGACCCATCGGGGACCGCGGCCGGTGTCCGAGGTGCTGCCGCGGCGGTCGCCCTGCAGGAGGCCCGGCCGCAGTCGGGAGGGCGGCGGAGGCTCTTGGCTGGCAGTGTCGGGCAGAAATAAGGGGGGGAGAAGAAGCGAAGGGGCCCTTTGAGGCCGAAAGGATCGGTCGGTGGGATCAGGAGCGAGAGGCTCCCCTCAACCTCCCCCCGGGGCCCTCCTGCAGGTCCCCGAACCTGAAGGGCCCCCCGCGGTTGCTGCTTCTGCCCTGGGAATTCCGGGCTCTGCCTCGGTTTCCACCTGCCTTCGCCCTCCCCCCTCCCCCTCCCGGAGGAGCCCCTCCCTGAAACACGCGGAGGGGGAGGGGAGCAAGACCCCTTGGGGGGGGTCTACCAACACCCCCCCCCCGTGAGGCCTTTCTTTCTTTCTTGCGGGCTCCGCAAGGGAGGCTTCTCTGCAGGAGGAGCTGCGTCCTTTCCAGGCGGCAGAGGCTTCGCTTTAGCCAAACTCCTACAGGTGGCAGGGGGGATGTCGACCAGGCCAGCAGAAGATTTCCCCGGGGTAGAGCTCGCAATTTCCATTCAGACTCCAGGTATCCCGCAATGGCAGAGCCCCCCCCTTCCCCCCCCCCGTAGGCCCTTGCCCCCTGCCTTTTCCTGTGGTGGTGGTGCTGCTGCCACCTTATCGCATATACACCCCCTCATCTCCAAGCTGCAGAAGGGAAGAAAGTCTCTCCTCCCCTTCCAGTCTCTGGTAGTTCTTTTTTCAACATGCCTTGAACTAACTTGGACTGTGATTCATCCCAACTGACAACCTTTAAGCTGCAATGCTTTTCCC